AGCAGTAGTCATCGTGCCCTTTTGCACGGCTGGTGCGGTGACGGCGTGCTGTGCGCGGGGTTCAGGTCGGGGACGAGTTTTCTCCGTATAGATTTGTCGTGCGGGTTGGAGGCCCAAGCGTAAGCGCGAGAGGGAAGGTTAATGGGAGTGGATTGTTGGCACTGCCCTCGCTTGGGCGACGCTGACTTCCTGGTCGGGCGCGTGGGTAGTGCGGCCGACTGTTCGACAGGGGAGGTCGACAAGAGCGATAGATCGTGTTGGTCAACGAATGGGTCCGCCGACCAGGGCGGTCCTCGACGAGTTGTGATGGACGTGTCAAACTATAATTGTTATAGTTTGTTAGTTTAGTCTAGGTGTTACACTGAGTTATGCTGTAGCGGGTACAATCCCCTTAGGGTTTGCTATATGCTCCCTTGTACTACTTGTTTCTGCTTAATTCATTCAGTTACCGCGATGACACGACGAGGGAGGTCGTCGACCAGGGTACCAGGTAGTCGACCTGGTCGACCAAGTTACCTCGGCGAGGTTCTGCGGAGGCACGCAAATGTCGTCAAGGCTGCAATGGCAAAGGCGACTTCGGGCTGGTATCTCGAAGTCGATGTGGCTCTTCAGGCGCAGGCAGCCGATAGATGCTTGATGGTGCATGTCGGGCGAATTGTCTGCGAGCATACTGCGGAGAGTCACCCTACAACGGGAGTGGACTAAGGAGGAGGGCACGGGGTTGTGCGGGTTATCGTAGCGCTCTAGTAGCGTTCTTACTACTTGATGTGTTCACAGAGAAATATGGCAAGATTTTCCACAAATGTTTTGAAAAAAAAACATTCAAAATAGAGTACAAATGAGGCATGCAAACGATATGACTAGAAAGGCATTGCTGCCCAAAGCAAGCATTCTGCAAGGCAAATTACCAGCGCAGCTTCAGAGCGGCTCGCCAACGCTGAAACATGGTGGCTTGCCAGCATTGCAGAAGGGCGACGTGCTAATGCTGCAGCAGGGCGGTCTGCCAGTGTTGCAGTCACACGTGAATATGTGCGCACTGGTGCGTACCTACCAAGTAGGTGCAGGTCGACGGTTTCACCGTCAGGCACATTGCGCAGATGCCAGGTAGAAGACGTGTCGACGGTTTCTCCATATGTCCACCGTCGACCACGTGCAGTCGTTCTGCATGTCAACTTTCGCTAAACCCTCCTTAGCAAAATTCGCATGCCTTCGTAGAGATTCGTGGTCGTGCGAATTTGGCCGACCTCTCGCCGAGACGAGGCTCGTCAAACAGCGCCCTTCGACCAGAGAACGGGGCTCCTCAGAAAGCACTCCGTCTGTTAGAGATCGCACGACTCACTAGCAGAATAGTGGACGAGCTTGTCAAACAGCATCCTGTCGACCAGAGCTCGTCGATGGGCTAGCCGACCAGAGGAAAGCCTCCTCGAAAACCACCCGTCGTTTCAGAGAACGTGCCGGTCGTCTGAACCTGAGAGCCAATTCAACAACCGCTTTCATTGAATTCGCCATGGCACCACAAAGAACGCCTACGCCCAAGCAAGGGCGGGGCCTTTCACTTTGACACTCCCCTGCCCAGCTCAAGCTTGGGGCCCCACACATAAGGTCCACCTGGAACCCAGAGGGATAGAGTACAAGGAGAAATCTTGCCGGCGTGCACACCCCCGCACGCCGATCACCGCACCAGCCATGTTAGAGGACATGGCGCCTACTGCTGCACATCGTCGTCTTCGCCGACGTTGGCAAGGCAAACTTGGCTGATCGAGATGGAGCACCGGTTGAAGGTCGGAACATGCAGCGCCTTAGTGAGGAAGTCCGCTGGCTGCTCAGAAATCGGGATGTATTCCAACGCAATCTTTTTGTACTTCACCATCTGCAGCAGCCAGGCGTAGCGTCGCTCCATGTGCTTGAGGTTTCCCTTAAGCCCCAAGCCCTCAGCGACCGCGATGGCGGAATGATTGTCCACGTTCAGAGACGTTGGCGTCCCAGCGTTGAGGATCAGGAACTCGGCGAGGAGGAATCAAAGTCGACGAGCTTCCTTGCCGGCTTCGGTGGCCGCGATGTACTCCGAGTCCGTCGAGAACAGAGTCCGCACTTGATGCGCTGGCTTGTCCAGGAAACAACTGCGCCGCCAAAGGTGAAACGTAGCCATTTGTGCTGCTGCGCGTCTGCTTGTCGCCGACATCGTCAGCGTCTGCGTAGCCCACTTGTTTCAGAGTTTTCGGCCCCTCGTCGAACTCCAGAGGAAAATCGCGCGTATCAGAGAGGTAGGCAAGGCAGCGATCGACCTCGCCAGTGCTGGTCACTCCTCACCTTTACACCAGATCCCAGCTTGCTGCACGCGAAAGCGATGTCGGGTCGAGTAGTCATGGCGGCAAAATGCAACGAACCGACCTTCTGACGATACTCCTCTTCTTCACGCGACTGGAAGTCCTCATCGTCGAAAGTCAGCTCAGCGAAGGCATCGACGGAAACGGGAATCTTCGGACGCCGACAAGTCTGATCCTCGTTGATGAAGCCCCTATGCAGCTTGTTGATGTAGGACTGTTGCTGCAACCAAAGCTTCCGCGTCGGACGGTCGCGGACGATTTCGAGCCCCAAATACTTCTCGACCGGGCTGATCTCGCGCAGCTCAAAGGCGGCTTCTACCAGCTCCTTCAGCATCGCGGTGCTGCTACTGGCAGTAAGCATGTCGTCAACGTAGACGAGCATCCATCACACAACTCTGTCTTCACCAACTTTGACATAGAGAGCCTCGTCGGCCTGGCTATTCCTCCAACCAGTGCAAGTCAGCACAGCGTCAAGCGTCGAGTACCACAGCAGAGGGCTCTGCTTCAGCCCATACAAGCTCTTCAGCAGCTTGCATACGCGGCATGTGCCATCGTTGTAGTAAGCCGGCTGGTCCATGTAGAGCACGCGGTCGAGCTCGCTCTGAAGGAAAGCATTCTTCATGTATAGCAGCATGAGGTGCAAGTCGAGAACGGCGACAATGCTGAGGAAAACCCGCCACGTGACGTAGCTCCCGACCTGTGGGTACGTCTTGTCGTAATCAGCTCCGTAGACCTACGTGAAGCCCTTCACCACCAGACAGGCTTTTTCGCGGGCGACCGTATCATCGACGTGGTACTTCGTCATCAGAACCCAGTGGTTCTTCATGACATTAACGCCGCGCGGACACTTGACCAGCTCCCATATGCCGTTGAAGATTAGACTTCGGATCTCCTCGTCCATGGCAGCCTTCACCGCCTTGCCCTTCCAGCTAGCTAATGCCTCCTTCACCATCATGTTGACGATGTCCCAACAGTGCTTTGGGTTGGCGTGCACATCGTGGACGAGTTCGGGCAAGTCGACGTCGAACTACGCATCGTCGAGCAGAGTGCTGTAGGAGGTCGGCAGCAGGCAAGCATGGTAGCTCAGCTTCTCCGGAGGCTTGCCAAAGTTAGAGCGGGTGGAACGACAAGGAGCAGACTTGTCAGCCGAGACTTCACCACGTCGCTGTCGCTGGACTGCTCCCCTGTTGAAAGCTCCCCGTCAACGCCGCCGATGACTTCAACAACGTCACTCGATGTGCCATCGTCGAACTACTCTCCTGATGTCCGCTCCTCTGAAGCGAGCTCCTTGTTCGACAGCTTTTTTTACAACGGCTCCTCTGGAACACGCTCCCTGTTCGACAGCTCTCTTGTCGATGGCTCCTCTGAAACGCGCCCCCTGTTCGACGGCTCCCCTCTCGGCGGAGATTTCACTCCGACGCCGACTTGCTCGCTGACCAGATCACGTCGACCGCTAGCGATGCCGATAGGCGGAGCCGATGGCGACGCGCCAATGCTCCCCTCATCGCTAACGGCTGACGTCGATTGCCTTGTGTCGGGAGCAGAGGCTAAAGCACATTGCTCTCGTTCCTTTCTTGCTCGAGAGTTGCAGCAGCATGGTCAGCTGCGCCTTGCTTACATGGCCTCTCGGGCCAGCAGTGCTGATGTCTTCACCAAGGCCCTTGCGCTTGGTGATCATCAGCGTTTCTGCACTGCTCTAGGCCTTGTGCCTACTTTGCCTCACCTGCTGGTTGCTTGACTTGTCTTGTACTGTGATCTATCTGTATATATATACAGGAACATTCATATATATAGGTCAATCATTCCTGCACGTGATTTCTGATAGTAGGAACATCTTTACCCGACCCGACTTCACTCTCCACCTCCATCGCTGTACCGGCTTGCAATCTCTGGAGTTCCACTGGCCGGCTAACTATACATGTGAGGAAGATCCCCTAGGTGTCGCAACTCTTGATAAAGATTTCATCCATTGCACCTGCCTCTCTACTCTTATCTTGCGTGACTTTCCCACCCTCAGCACAATTCCCCAGCAGCTCGAGAATCTTTCACAGCTAGAGCGGTTGGAGCTGCACTCCTGGCCCAACCTAGAACGCTTGCATGCTTCCATCACCAAGCTGTCCAAGCTCAAAACACTTGTCATCTCTGGGTGCCCAAATGTCAAGGATGGTGCTGCTGTTATTTGTGCTCTGCCGAATGTGAGTGTGAATGTGTTGGAACGTAGCAACTGAGAATATGGTGTGGTGGTTCTAGGGAAAGGATAAAAACTGTGATTCCTTGGGGAGTAGGTAGCTCAGGGTTAGGCGTTAATGTAGGGACAGTTAAGGTTTTATTATGGCCGCAGGCGGTCAAAGGATATTTTCTAATTAATCCATGATGTAAATACCAAACGACAGCTCTTGAAATTTACTATGATGTCCAGAGTTGTGAAGGCAAATTTACGCTGAGTGGGATTTGTAAGGGATTATTACAATCAAAAGAAAAATGCATCAAGCCACTCGTGTAGGCAGGGATCTCCATTCAGACTACAGCATTTCAAGGCAAAGCGACGTCTCAAAAATCTGTTGCTCACTGTGATGCTGCGAACAACTGCACGCTTTGGCCTTCTTTCAGACTCCGTTATGATACATGGTGTGTAGGCAAGTGAGGAAATGTCGGCCATCAAGGGCCCTGCACTCACAGCAGTGCCAGCACTGCGAGCATCACCATCACAGCAACAAAATTAGCCGTGGCATGCAGGCGATGGGAGATCTTTTCCCCACTCGAACCAGACGGGGAGCCCCCACTGCTGCTGCTGCTCGAATCAGCACCACCACTGCTGCCGCTGCTCGAATCAGCACCACCACTGCTGCTGCTGCTCGAATTAGCACCACCACTGCTGTTGCTGCTCGAATTAGCACCACCACTGCTGCTGCCACCAGTGTTGCTTGTAGGAATACAGTCAGTAGGTGATGTGATGCCATTCAGCTTCGTGCTTGTGCCACCACCAGCATCAGCAGCAGCACCGCCATCGCCGCCGCTGTTGCTGCACTTGAACTTATCACACTGCCTGTCAGTGACCGTCCTATTAATATACTGCCTCATATTGGGATACTCGGTGAAGTTCATAACCTTAGCGGGGCACTTCTCAATGGGGATGGGAAGCGGGTCGCAGCAGAAGGGCATGGGGGGCAGCTTCTTGGGCCCGTTGTAGCACTGGGTCTGGTCAGAGGCGTCTGGTGTGACGGCGACTGTGAAGTTGTAGACGCCAAACGCCGTGCCCACCTTGCCGAACAGGTCCTCCATGAAGCGCTCGGCTGTGGGGAAGAACTTGTCGAGTGTGGCGACACCAGGCACTGCGAGTGGGAAAGGAGGGGAGAGATGAGGGCGAAAGGTGAAGATGGAGAGAGGGTGCCACAGGCGGTGCCCACCTTGCCCAACAGGCCCTCCATGAATCGCTCGGGTGTTGGGAAGAACCTGTCGAGCGTCGCCACTCCTGGCACTACCGTGTTGGGGCGAGTGGGGAACGAGTAGGGGGGGAAGGGAGTGGTGGTGGGGGGTGGGGGGGGGAGGGGGGATGAAGGTGGAGAGGAAGAGGGAGAGGTAGGGTAAGAGGGAGAAGAAGGGAGCGGAAGGGAGGCGAGAAGAGGGAGGGAGGGGTGAAGCGAAGGATGCATGGATGGATGATGGATAGGCCTGGCAGGGCTCGCACTTGCGCCGCTTGCAGGTTTGGTATACGGTCTGAGAGGTTGCAGGCCTGCACAGCATGGCATGGGTCATAGGTGCGTAAAACAGAAGTCACACGAATTAAAGGGTGTATATGGGACGGTCTGGGAGGTTGAAGGCATGCATGACGCGCAACATAGGCACTCAAACACAGAAATCACCTGAAGAAAAGAGTCTACTCACGTGTGAGCCCCTTGCAGGTCTGGTAGACGGTCTGCGAGAAGGCGTTGCAGACCTGCATGACGCGCGTGCCGTTGACCAGCTTGAAGTAGCTGCCCGAATCTGTGGGGGGCGCGTGGGGTGGAGGGGATGGTGGGTGGGTTGACCAGAGTCAGTGAGCAAGTGGGTGGATGGGTGAGGGAAGCGGGTGGATGGGTGAGGGAAGCGGGTGGATGGGTGAGGGAAGCGGGTGGATGGGTGAGGCCGGGTGGATGGGTGAGGGAAGCGGGTGGATGGGTGAGGGAAGTAGGTGGATGGGTGAGGGAAGCGGGTGGATGGGTGAGGGAAGCGGGTGGATGGGTGAGGGAAGCGGGTGGATGGGTGAGGGAAGCGGGTGGATGGGTGAGGGAAGCGGGTGGATGGGTGAGGGAAGCGGGTGGATGGGTGAGGGAAGCGGGTGGATGGGTGAGGGAAGCGGGTGGATGGGTGAGGGAAGCGGGTGGATGGGTGAGGGAAGCGGGTGGATGGGTGAGGGAAGCGGGTGGATGGGTGAGGGAAGCGGGTGGATGGGTGAGGGAAGCGGGTGGATGGGTGAGGGAAGCGGGTGGATGGGTGAGGGAAGCGGGTGGATGGGTGAGGGAAGCGGGTGGATGGGTGAGGGAAGTGGGTGGATGGGTGAGGGAAGCGGGTGGATGGGTGAGGGAAGTAGGTGGATGGGTGAGGGAAGTAGGTGGATGGGTGAGGGAAGCGGGTGGATGGGTGAGGGAAGCGGGTGGATGGGTGAGGGAAGCGGGTGGATGGGTGAGGGAAGCGGGTGGATGGGTGAGGGAAGCGGGTGGATGGGTGAGGGAAGCGGGTGGATGGGTGAGGGAAGCGGGTGGATGGGTGAGGGAAGCGGGTGGATGGGTGAGGGAAGCGGGTGGATGGGTGAGGGAAGCGGGTGGATGGGTGAGGGAAGTAGGTGGATGGGTGAGGGAAGCGGGTGGATGGGTGAGGGAAGTGGGTGAAGCAGCTGCCGGTCTTTCTGACAGGAGCGCGGGGAGAGAGAATGTGGGGAGTAGCGGGGTGGGAGAGGGAAGAGAATTTGGGTGGAAAGAGAAAGTGAGGAGGAAAGGGGAGAAATTTGGCTCACTCAACAGAGAAGGTTTACGAGTCACACAGACTGTGTACCGCATCCAACACAAAGTCACCGCCATTCGCCCTCATTGCTTCTCACTCGCCCTCGTTGCTTATCACTCGCCCTCGTTGCTTATCACTCGCCCTCGTTGCTTATCACTCGCCCTCGTTGCTTATCACTCGCCCTCGTTGCTTATCACTCGCCCTCGTTGCTTATCACTCGCCCTCGTTGCTTATCACTCGCCCTCGTTGCTTATCACTCGCCCTCATAATTTTCCACTCGCGGAGCTGCTACGAAGTGATAATTCGACCTCACTCAACCAGGTAGCACCGAACTCACCCGGGTTGCACCCCGTGGCGCACACGACCTGCTCCAGGAGGAGCTGGCACTGCTGGAACTCGCTGAACTGCGCGCACACCTGCGCGGGAAGAGCGGGGAGAGGGGGAGGAGGTGGCGCGGGAGGCGGGGGAAGAGAGGGGGAAAGGGTGGAAGAATGAGGGCGGGGGTGAAGGGGCGGACAGGAGGAGCTGGCACTGCTGGAACTCGCTGAACTGCGTGCACACCTGCGCCAATAGGAGCACGACAGGAGACGAGTGAGAGGGGAAGTGAGAGGGAGTGAGAGAGCGTAAAAATGCGACTCGAGCTGCAGCCAATGGCGCGCACACGACCTGCTCCAGGAGGAGATGGCACTGCTGGAACTCGCTGAACTGCGCGCACACCTGCGCGGGAGGAGAGCGAGGAGGGGGGGGTGGGGGAAGAGGGGGGGGAGGTGAGGGAGGAGGGGGAGGAGGTGGGGGAAAGGGCGGAAGAGCGGGGAGGGAGTGGGGGAGAGGCGGACGGGGGGAGGGGGGAAAAGGTGAAGATTATGAGCGGGTGAGTGGAAGCGTTGGAATCATTGGAAGACCCAACATTTTCCAAGCAACTGACCCGCGCGTGCTCCTGCAGGAGGGAAGGGGGAGAGGAGGGAATAACGGCTAAGGGTGGGTGAAAGTCTCGGAGATCGACGACGGAACGGCGCAGCTCGAAGCCGCTGGAGTGCGCGCATGTTTGCGGAGACGCGGAGAGACGGAATTCGGGAGTGGCGGCGTGGACAACCGAGAGGAGGGGAGAGCAAGAGGAGAGGAGGGAGAGAGGAAGAAAGTGAGAGAGGAAGTGAGAGAGGAAGGAAGTGAGAGGGGAAGGAAGTGAGAGGGGAAGGAAGTGAGAGGGAGTAGACAGCACAAATGCGACTCGAACTGCAGCCAGTGGCGCACATGTGAGCGAGAGCACACGCGGAGTGGTGGCAACTGGCAGGGAACAGCGGCACAGAATGGAGAAAAGGGGTGATGGGGAGAGGGAGAGGGGGGATGCGCTAACTGAGCACGGAGAGAGACGGTCGGCCCGTCAATATTCGCGCACTGAAAAGTTTGTTAAGCCCCCCTTCCTCCATCACGTTCGTCAAGATTTCCCTCGCTTTTCCCCGCCAACGACGATTCAAAACTCAGCCGCTACTGTACTAGAGACGAGCGTCACTCTGTGTCGCGTACCATCATGTTGACGTTTGTGAACTTGTCGCCGAGCCCCGGCGAGACTTGATTAAGTATAACGCGGCCATCCGTGGACGCCTCCACTACCGCGTATTTCCGGTCCTCGCAGTCGGAGCAGCACGTCCATTCCGCGGCGTCCAGGCACCTCGTTACAGTCACATTCGGTTTCACGGGCAGCAGGCCCGAGTACCAGCAGGCGGGGAAGTCACTCTGCTTTGCCGCGGAAACCGGCGCAATCAGCGCCACGAAAGACGCGATTAATGCCAAGATGAGTACGCTCCCCGCGAAAAACGGAGCATCCTGGCGGGTCATGGCGATGTTTGTAAGTGGGAAGCGCTACCAGTTACTCTGTACGGGAGCAGAGACAATAGTTAGCCTGCTGGCATTGACTTGGATAAATGAGAGATGCAACAATTGACAACTGTTATTTGGTTTGGGTTGGTTGGAAGTCACACTACGGACATGTCGCATACCTTTCGAGATTCTCGACGATGTTTGGAATTTCAGTTCACTTCGCAGATCACGCGAAAGCCTCGCACATGGTTGCTACAACCGAAAACCACCGAAAACCGTCAAAACCACGTAACGTGGATGGGCGACGTCGTTCTAGCGAGGATGGTCAAACGAACGAACTCGATGAAGTGCCACGTTGGAATGAGAGGGTGTAGGACAGGCCTAGCGTGCACGAAACAAATGGCGGGAAAACAGCTCCAGGTCACACCTGTGACCACGATTCGCACGATGCTGTGACCCCACCCCAATTGTGAATGGAGCGTGGCTGAGTGAGCCACCAATCACTGGTTGGACATCGACATCCATCCAGCCCATCACTGGTTGGAACTGGAACACCAATCTGTTGTCAGCCGTACGATTTTCCCTGCCAGCTTGGTTGGTTGCACCAAACCCAAAAACCTTATTTGGGGGTTTTCAGCTTTGAGGGGACTGTTACTGTAGAGATCCATCTTTTAAGGGAACTTCATTGCTAACACGTGACTGTTTCCACAAATTTCACGCTCACACGGGAACATTAGTGTGACAACTAGGGAATCGGTCTCTCATTGGTCGAAAAAACGAACTTTGTTCAGGTGCGCGAAGTGCGGAGAAAGCATTATGGAACTCGTTTATGTTGGGCTGAGAAAAGCCCTTACGTTCTTTGCAGGACTAAACTCTTGGTAGAACTTGTTGTAAATGCGGAAGCGTTTAATGAAAGTCTTTGAACCACCTTGCGCTGGTATGTGAGGGCAAAGTAGATTGATTAAAACAAAAAGATATAAGCTTTTATAAGAGTACAAGGGAATATGAAAGGTTATAGCTAATAACTGTTTTACTGTTGCTGTTGCGGTTCGATACAGTGACGACTCGGGCAACTGCTCAGTAACGAGTCAGTTGTTTGTCCTTGCTGTCGCGCTGTACTCGTCAGGTCAAAGGTCGCTGACCTTTGACTTTCGCGTAACCTCCAGCAGTTGCTCAACCTCCGAGGGTTGACTTGCTGATGCTTCGCTATGTTTCGCTTTGTTTACGACTTAGTGTTTTGATGCGACAGAGGCGCTTAAATAACTTGTTTCTAACAGTTTAGGGCTGTCACGCACAAAACTAAATCCCTAACGGATGGCATGTTTTTCAGGGCATCAACCCCAAACATCATGCGACAAGGAGTTTATGGTTGATGCTTTTTTTGAAGTGCATCAACCCTAAACACCATGTGACAAGGTGTTTAGGGTTGATGTTGTTGGGCTGAGAGAAGCCATTAGGATCTTTGCAGGGCTAAACTCTGGGCAGGAATGTTGTAGTTGCGGAAGCGTTTTAATAAGAAGCATTGAACCACCTTGCGCTGGTATGTGAGGGCAAAGTAGATTGATTTTTAGCACGGAGGTACAAGGTTTTTATAAGAGTACAAGGAATACGAAGAGATACAGCTAATAACCGTTTTACTGTTGCTGTTGCGGTTCGATACAGTGACGGCTCGGGCAACTGCTCAATAGCGAGTAAGTTTGTCCTTGCTGTCGCGCTGTATTTGTCAGGTCAAAGGTCGCTGACCTTTGATTTCCGCGTAACCTCCAGCAGTTACTTTTCTTCTCAACCTCCAAAGGTTGACTCGCCGATGCTTCGTTGTGCTTCGCTTCGTTTACGACTTAGTGTTTCGTCACACAACAGAAGCGCTTAAATTACTTGTTTCCAACACTCCCCTTCGCTTCTGGAGTGTCGTTGCTGGTGACGTGGCTTTGTCCAGTCAGCAGCATGCAGTACTCGAACTTCTGCTTTCCGAGCTTCTTGGTCAATTAAACAGCTGCCATCTCAGACGTGGGGCAGTAGGAGAGCTCGAGTCTCCCCTTCTCGATCTCGTCCTTCACGAAGAAATATCGCAGGGCAATGTGCTTCGTTCTGTTCGCGAATCCGTTCTTGTTGGCTATGCGGATTGCAGACTGGTTGTCGCAGATAAAGGAGAAGTTGGGTAACTGCGCCAGCTTCACTTCTTCCAGCAGTTCGCGAAGGTACAGTCCTTCCTTGGTGGCTGAGCAGAGTGCAATATATTCTTCTTCAGCTGAGGAGAGAGCAATTAGTTCCTGCTTGCTCGACTGCCAAGAGATGGGCCCGATAGGCTCGAGCTGGTAGATGTAGCCGGTGCGCGAGCGCCTGTTGTCAGAGTCGCTGGCGTGATCAGCGTCGATGTAGCCGATTAGCTTAGGCGCTGTAGTTCCGGTCTTGTAGTAAGTTAGCCCGATCGTCGGGGTGCTGACGAGGTAGTGTAGTGCGCGATCGAGCTCTACCATGTGTTCTGACAGGTTTCTTGAGGTAGGTGGCGAGCTAGCTTGCGGAGTACGAGAGGTCCGGTCGGCAGGTGACAGCTGCGAAGAGCAAACATCCTAGTTTTCGTTGGTAGTCGCGTATGCCGGCGGGCTTGAGCAGAGCAGAGGCTTCCTTGTGACTTCCGGTGGTGTAGCGATATGGTGTGGAGATAATAGTTGGGGTGAGTCCGAAGCGTTTGGCGATGGTGTCGGCGTATTTTGCGGCGCTGAGGTAGATCGCGTTTTCCTCCTCCTGAATATTGAGCCCGAGGTATTGCGTTACGGTAGATGAAACCGTGAGCGTGAGGTCCTGCTGCAGCTCCCCTTCGAACCAGGTCGTAATTCCTTCGGTCGAACTGATGTAAAGCAGATCGTCTACGTAGACGATGAGTAGAATGTAGTCAGTACCCTTCGTGAGTCGGTACATGCCCTGGTCGTGCGGTAGCTGGCGGAATCCGATGCGGATGAGTCGAGCGTGTAAATACTGCTGCCACAGTCTCGGAGCCTGCTTAATGCCGTATAGAGATTTCAGTAGTTGGCAGACTTGGTTCGGATCTCCGTTGGAACCGTGTGGTAGCTCGACGAAGATCTTGGCGTCAACAGATGCGTAGAGGAAAGCGTTGGCGACGTCAATTTGACGTAGCTTCTTCTTCATAGCGGCTATCGCGAGGAGGATCCGTAGAGAAGTGTGTAGGCTAACTGGCGCAAATGTTTCGGTGAAGTCCCGTCCGTGCTCTTGGTCGAAGCCGCGTACGATCCAGCGCGCCTTGAACTTGTCGATGGTGCCGTCTGCTTTGGTTTTCACATGGAAAACCCATTTTCCGGTAAGGATTGTCTTGTTACGTGCAACGCCGATAGGAACAACCTTCCAGGTGTTGCGTTCTTCCAGTGCCTTTAACACCTTGTCCATGGCTTCGCGCCATTTTTCCCTGTGTTCCCCCCCTAGAGCCTGATGAACTGTGGCAGGCTCCTTAGGTGGCGCCGAGCCGTGGACTGCGGTGACGAGGCCAAGTATCTGCAGCCCGCTCTGTGTGTAGCGGGGGAGAGTGGTGTCCTCGGGATAGACGGCTTCGTCTCCTGCTTCTGGATCAGGTATGAATTTGGGTCCTACGCGTTCTACTTCGTTGGTGTTGACTCTTGCAGGTGTAACGTAACCGTTGTCGGGGAAGTGATAATAAACTTCGGCGTTGATGCTTTCGCGAGGATCTTCGTCGTCCATTGGTACGTCAACTGAGCAGTAGGGAAGAGGTCCGGCTTCTTCCGAGGCTCTGTCCACGTTCTGCTCGTCCCAGTCAGCTTCATCCTCTACCGAGGCGTAGGCTCGGGTACCAAGAAATCCGCCCGAGAGGTCTGGGTTTCCTTCTTCCACGTTGGCAAGGTATATCCGAAGAGTGAGGTTTTCGTAGAAGATGACATCACGTGCTGCCACTGTTTCCTTTGTGTTGATGTCGAAAATCTTCCATGCGTTGTAATGTTTTTCGATGCCCAGGTGTAGTCCCCACTGTGCGTGTTGGGAGAATCGGCCGGCTCGTGCAGCTGGGGGTCGGTACTGTACCATGCAGCCAAAAACTCGCAACATTTTTGTGCTGCCCAGTTTTCCTGTCCACAGCAGATGCGGTGATGCGTTGTTCGGGAGCGATGATGACGAGAGCAAGTTGTGCAGCATCACAGCATGGTCCATTGCTTCGGGCCACTGGTGGTTGGGTAGCCGCATGCCACGTAGCAGCTTGCGCATGGTGTTCTGAAGAGTCCTGTTCATTCTTTCTGCCACGCCTTGCTGTTGGTGAGCGTAGGGAAGGGAGATGAGCCGCTTGATGCCTCTTTTTGCCAGGTAGTCCTTGAATCTTTGTGATTGATATTCCCCTCCTCCGTCGGATTGGAAACTTTTTAGATTCACTCCTGATTCTCGTTCTGCTACTGGAAGCCAGGCGACGAAAGCTTCGAAGGCCATGTCACGGCTCGGAAGATTGAGGTGCCAGACGTATCGTGTGGCGGCATCGATGAACGTGATGACATAATTGTATGCTCCTTGTCCAGGTTCACGGTTGTACAGGATGTCGCTGTACACTTTCTCCAGAGGTGCATATGCTGGTGCGCTCGGGTTGTGATGCGAGACGAACAGCTGATGCGGTAAGTCAGCTTCAGGGCAGGTAAAGCACGTTCCGCGGACTCGTTGGAGTTCTCTGCCGTCGGTTAGAAGTAGTGAGTCTTTGTCGAGCACGCCTGCTCTTATCGTGTTGTTTAACGTCGTGTTGCTTGGATATCCCATTCTTGTGTGCCAGGTTCCTTCAGTGGCGCGATGCCTGGGTGAACGTTTGTACAGGCCAGAGTTGGAGTAGAA